TCCCAAGTGTTTATTTCCCCCGGGCTCCCATCATCTATTCTAACCTCTGTAATTCTATATGCTCCATGGTGATCTTTTCCACTTACAAGAGATTTCAACTATTACTATTTCCAAATATTTTCTCCAGGTAGCTCTTTCATAAACTCCAAACCAACATATCTGACTCTGAACTTTCTCTAGTTTCACCTCCTGGCATTTCTTAACTCTATTCTCTGTAATCCCAATGTTCACACTGTTTTGTGAAATCATGGCACCCTCCCATGTGTGTTACTTCCTCTGACTGGAATGTAGCATGCCTTTACTTCCTTTGCTCCCTCTCCTGACACAAAAGCAATATAAAATACTGGTTAATAATCTGTATACCAGAAACAAATTGCCAGGATTTAAATGTTCATTGCTTATAAACCCTGTGAGTTAAGTCAAGTTACTTAGCCTTTCTCTGGCTTTAATTCCCTATTTGTAAGATGAAGAAAATATTAATACTAGAGCATAAGGTTTTGAGAATGGCTGAATATATTATAACAACAATAATAACATAGTAGGTATGGTACTTACTGTGGCAAGCACTGCCCCACGCACAAGCATATATATTTTTTTATCTAATGCTCATGATATTTTAATGAGGTAAAATTATTATCCCCATCTTATAGATGAGAAAACTTAGGCACAGACAAGTTAAATACTTTGCCCAGGGATTCTCAGCTGATAAACAACAAAGTCAGAATTTAAATCCATACACTACATCTCTAGTGATATGTTTTAACCTGCACTTAACTGCCTCTACTAATATATGCGAATATATATTAAACGCTTAGAGTATTGTGAGTAATGTGTAAACACTCTGAAATATTGGGCATTATCATGCTAGAGTTTCTGTATTGTATTTATCATGTTGCATAATAATTATCAATTTACTTGTTTTACCTTCTCTAGACTGAGTTTATCCTTCAGGAAGTAAAAACCTTTTATCTTGCAGTGTATAGAACAGAAATGGTATGTAAATAATTGTTGATGTCAAATAAATTAACTTGGAATCGAGCCACTGGGTATAATCATAATTAAACTCAAAGACAGCCATGGAAAAGTGAGCAAAGAAAATGGGGGACTATTTGGAAAGGAAAATATGACAATTCAGTTTTAATAAGAATCCTAACCAAGTCTGGACGAAATGACCTGTCAACAGATGGCATCATAAGTGGGCTATCTTGTTTCATATATAGCTGTGCCCAATATCCCAGAAGGTAGTTTCTCCTAAACTTGCCATTGCCTCCCTCAAAGCTTCTAAATTCTTTTACAATGCAGTTTTCAGGGTACAAAATTATTATTCTTAAGCATGATGAGTGAATTCTTTTTTTCCAAGCTTCGGTCTTCTGCATTCACCTCTACCA